AGGGCCTAGCGTGTGCAAAATTGCAAGAACAAGGGCCTAGCGTGTGCAAAATAGCAAGAGCAAGGGCCTAGTGTGTGCAAAAAATCAAGAACAAGGGCCTAGCGTTCGCGAAATAACAAAAACAAGGGCCTAGCGTGTGCAAAATTGCAAAAACAAGGGTCTAGCAAGTGCAAAATTGCAAAAACAAGGGCCTAGCGTGTGCAAAATAGCAAGAGCAAGGGCCTAGTGTGTGCAAAAAATCAAGAACAAGGGCCTAGCGTTCGCGAAATAGCAAGAACAAGGGCCTAGCGTGTGCAAAATAGCAAGAACAAGGGTCTAGCATGTGCAAATTTGCAAGAACAAGGGCCTAGCGTGTGCAAAATAAAAAGAACAAGGGCCTAGCGTGTAAAAAATAAAAAGAACAAGGGCCTAGCGTGTGCAAAATTGCAAGAACAAGGGCCTAGCGTGTGCAAAATTGCAAGAACAAGGGCCTAGCGAGTGCAAAATAGCAAGAACAAGGGCCTAGCGTGTGCAAAAAATCAAGAACAAGGGCCTAGCGTTCGCGAAATAGCAAGAGCAAGAGCCTAGCGTGTGCAAAATAAAAAGAACAAGGGTCTAGCATGTGCAAAATTGCAAAAACAAGGGCCCAGCGTGTGCAAAATAAAAAGAACAAGGGCATAGAGTGTGCAAAATAGCAAGAAGAAGGGCCTAGCGTATGCAATATAAAAAGAACAAGGGCCTAGCGTGTGCAAAATAAAAAGAACAAGGGCCCAGCTTGTGCAAAATTGCAAGAACAAGGGCCTAGCGTATGCAAAATTGCAAGAACAAGGGCCTAGCGAGTGTAAAATTGCAAGAGCAAGGGCCTAGCATGTGTAAAATTGCAAGAACAAGGGCCTAGCGAGTGCAAAATAGCAAGAGCAAGGGCCTAGCGTGTGCAAAAAATCAAGAACAAGGGCCTAGCATTCGCGAAATAGCAAGAACAAGGGCCTAGCTTGTGCAAAATAAAAAGAACAAGGGTCTAGCATGTGCAAAATTGCAAGAACAAGGGCCTAGCGTGTGCAAAATAAAAAGAACAAGGGCATAGCGTGTGCAAAATAAAAAGAACAAGGGCCTAGCGTGTAAAAAATAAAAAGAACAAGGGCCTAGCGTGTGCAAAATTGCAAGAACAAGGGCCTAGCGTGTGCAAAATTGCAAGAACAAGGGCATAGCGAGTGCAAAATAGCAAGAGCAAGGGCCTAGCGTGTGCAAAAAATCAAGAACAAGGGCCTAGCGTTCGCGAAATAGCAAGAGCAAGGGCCTAGCATGTGCAAAATAAAAAGAACAAGGGCATAGCGTGTGCAAAATAGCAAGAACAAGGGCCTAGCGTGTGCAAAATAAAAAGAACAAGGGCCTAGCGTGTGCAAAATATAAAGAACAAGGGCCTAGTGTGTGCAAAATTGCAAGAACAAAGGCCTAGCGTGTGCAAAATTGCAAGAACAAGGGCCTAGCGAGTGCAAAATAGCAAGAGCAAGGGCCTAGCGTGTGCAAAAAATAAAGAACAAGGGCCGAGCGTTCGCGAAATCGCAAGAACAAGGGCCTAGCGTGTGCAAAATAAAAAGAACTAGGGCATAGCGTGTGCAAAATAGCAAGAACAAGGGCCTAGCGTGTGCAAAATAAAAAGAACAAGGGCCTAGCGTGTGCAAAATAAAAAGAACAAGGGCCTAGCGTGTGCAAAATTGCAAGAACAAGGGCCTAGCGTGTGCAAAATTGCAAGAACAAGGGCATAGCGAGTGCAAAATAGCAAGAGCAAGGGCCTAGCGTGTGCAAAAAATCAAGAACAAGGGCCTAGCGTTCGCGAAATAGCAAGAGCAAGGGCCTAGCATGTGCAAAATAAAAAGAACAAGGGCATAGCGTGTGCAAAATAGCAAGAACAAGGGCCTAGCGTGTGCAAAATAAAAAGAACAAGGGCCTAGCGTGTGCAAAATATAAAGAACAAGGGCCTAGTGTGTGCAAAATTGCAAGAACAAAGGCCTAGCGTGTGCAAAATTGCAAGAACAAGGGCCTAGCGAGTGCAAAATAGCAAGAGCAAGGGCCTAGCGTGTGCAAAAAATAAAGAACAAGGGCCGAGCGTTCGCGAAATCGCAAGAACAAGGGCCTAGCGTGTGCAAAATAAAAAGAACTAGGGCATAGCGTGTGCAAAATAGCAAGAACAAGGGCCTAGCGTGTGCAAAATAAAAAGAACAAGGGCCTAGCGTGTGCAAAATAAAAAGAACAAGGGCCTAGCGTGTGCAAAATTGCAAGAACAAGGGCCTAGCGTGTGCAAAATTGCAAGAACAAGGGCCTAGCGAGTGCAAAATAGCAAGAGCAAGGGCCTAGTGTGTGCAAAAAATCAAGAACAAGGGCCTAGCGTTCGCGAAATAGCAAGAACAAGGGCCTAGCGTGTGCAAAATTGCAAAAACAAGAATCTAGCGTGTGCAAAATTGCAAGAACAAGGGCCTAGTGTGTGCAAAAAATCAAGAACAAGGGCCTAGCGTTCGCGAAATAGCAAGAACTAGGGCCTAGCACGTGCAAAATATAAAGAACAAGGGTCTAGCATGTGCAAAATTGCAAGAACCAGGGCCTAGCGTGTGCAAAATAAAAAGAACAAGGGCCTAGCGTGTAAAAAATAAAAAGAACAAGGGCCTAGCGTGGGCAAAATTGCAAGAACAAGGGCCTAGCGTGTGCAAAATTGCAAGAACAAGGGCCTAGCGAGTGCAAAATAGCAAGAACAAGGGCCTAGCGTGTGCAAAAAATCAAGAACAAGGGCCTAGCGTGTGCAAAATAAACAGAACAAGGGCCTAGCGTGTGCTAAATTGCAAGAACAAAGGCCTAGCGTGTGCAAAATTGCAAGAACAAGGGCCTAGCGAGTGCAAAATAGCAAGAGCAAGGGCCTAGCGTGTGCAAAAAATCAAGAACAAGGGCCTAGCGTTCGCGAAATAGAAAGAACAAGGGCTTAGCGTGTGCAAAATAAAAAGAACAAGGGTCTAGCATGTGCAAAATTGCAAGAACAAGGGCCTAGCATGTGCAAAATTGCAAGAACAAGGGCATAGCGTGTGCAAAATAAAAAGAACAAGGGCCTAGCGTGTAAAAAATTAAAAGAACAAGGGCCTAGCGTGTGCAAAATTGCAAGAACAAGGGCCTAGCGTGTGCAAAATAGCAAGACCAAGGGCCTAGTGTGTGCAAAAAATCAAGAACAAGGGCCTAGCGTGTGCAAAATAAAAAGAACAAGTGTCTAGCATGTGCAAAATTGCAAGAACAAGGGCCTAGCGTGTGCAAAATAAAAAAGAAAAAGGGCATAGCGTGTGCAAAATAAAAAGAACAAGGGCCTAGCATGTAAAAAATAAAAAGAACAAAGGCCTAGCGTGTGCAAAATTGCAAGAACAAGGGCCTAGCGTGTGCAAAATTGCAAGAACAAGGGCCTAGCGAGTGCAAAATAGCAAGAACAAGGGCCTAGCGTGTGCAAAATATAAAGAACAAGGGCCTAGCGTGTGCAAAATTGCAAGAACAAGGGCCTAGCGAGTGCAAAATAGCAAGAGCAAGGGCCTAGCGTGTGCAAAAAATCAAGAACAAGGGCCTAGCATTCGCGAAATAGCAAGAACAAGGGCATAGCGTGTGCAAAATAAAAAAAGAAAGGGTCTAGCTGTCAGAACACATATACAGCTTATACTGTTGTGTAGGCTGTAGTGGGGTATCCCGTAGGGGGTACAACCAGTTAGGGTTTGATACTTGTACTGATTTCATTTCATAGTCATTCATTCCTGTTCTCTTACTTTCACATGGTATAGAGCAGGTCCTTCAAGGACCGAATTTTTTTGGGCCCACCGAAGCGCGCCCCGAGGCGCGCTAATTTTTCGCGACCCCTCGGGTCGCCCTCTCCCCTGCGGCCCCGCCGCCTTCCCTGACGCGGCTCCGCCGCTTCTTCTGACGGGGCCCCGCGGCCGACTTTAACGCGGCCCCGTCCCCTACCCTTCCGCGGCCCCGCCGTCTGCTCTTCGCGGCCGCGCCCCGGCTTTCGCGCGGCCCCGCCGCCGACTCTGCAGCGGCCCCGCCCCGGCTCTGCAGCGGCCCCGCCCCGGCTCTTCAGCGGCCCCGCCGTCGGCCCTCTAAGGCCCCGTCGCCGGCCCTCCAGGGCCCCGCCCCGGCTTTTTCGGCCCTGCCCCGGCTCTCACGCGGCCCAGCCGCCGGCCCTTTCAGGCCCCGCCCCGGCTCTATCGGCCCCGCCGTCGGCCCCTTCAGGCCCCGCCCCGGCTCTATCGGCCCCGCCCCGGCTCACCCACGGCCCCGCCGTCGGCCCCTTCTGGCCCCGCCCCGGCTCTCTCGGCCCCGCCCCGGCTTTCAAGCGGCCTGCCGCCGGCCCTCTAAGGCCCCGCCCCGGCTCTTTCGGCCCTGCCCCGGCTCTCACGCGGCCCCGCCGCCGGCCCTTTCAGGCCCCGCCCCGGCTCTATCGGCCCCGCCGTCGGCCCCTTCAGGCCCCGCCCCGGCTCTATCGGCCCCGCCCCGGCTCACTCACGGCCCCGCCGTCGGCCCCTTCTGGCCCCGCCCCGGCTCTATCGGCCCCGCCCCGGCTCACTTACGGCCCCGCCGTCGGCCCTCTAAAGGCCCCACCGCCGGCTCTCTCGGCCCCGCCCCGGCTTTCCAGCGGCCCGCCGCCGGCCCTTTAAGGCCCCGCCACCCAACCTGCAGCAGCCGAGCAGCAGTGCAGTTGAGCCGCCCTGCCATCGAGCCGCCCGGGACCCGAGCCGCCCTGCCGCCGAGCCGCCCGGGAGCCGAGCCGCCCTGCACCCGAGCTGCCCAGCCGCCGAGCCGTCCGGGAGCCGAGCCGCCCTGCGCCCCAGCCGCCCAGCCACCGAGCCGCCCGGGAGCCGAGCCGCTGTGCATCCGAGCCGCCCGGTCGCTGAGCCGCCCTTCTGCATAGCTGCTCGACCTGCCCTGCTTGGTGAGCACAGTCCCACTGACACTGCGAGCTCTTTCCCTACTGCTTGCACTGCGTCGCTGTCGTCGCCATGGCTACCCCTAGTGTCCTAGCTTTCGACGCTGAGGGTCGCGCCATTGATTTTGAGGTCTGGTTAGACGACCTGCAGCTGTTCTTACAGTGCGACAGGGCTGACGACCTTTCTCTCTTTGACCTCACCTCTGGCGCCTCTCCTGCTCCTGCTGCTGATGCTGATCCCTCTGTCCGCTCTCAGTGGGCCACCCGCGATGCTGCTGCACGTCTTGCTGTGCGTCGCCACCTCCCTACCTCTGAGCGTGCGCACTTTAGCCAGTACAAGAGTGCTCAGACCTTGTACGACGCTGTAGTTGCGCGCTACTCCTCCCCTGCCACTGCTGCACTGAGTCGTCTCATGCTTCCCTACCTCTTTCCTGACCTCTCTGCCTTTCCCACTGTCGCTGACCTCATTACGCACCTCCGCACTAGTGACACTCGCTACCGCGCCGCCCTTCCTGCTGAGTTCTGCGCTAAGAACCCCCCCCCCCATGTACATCGCTCTCTACTACGTAGTCGCGCGCCTCCCTGACTCCCTTCGCATCGTCAGGGACCACTTTCTCGCTGTCTGTCCCACCACCCTCACCGTCGACCTCCTCGAGAAGGCCCTCCTCGCAGCGGAGAAGAGCATAGTCGCTGTAGGTGCTTCTCGTGGTGACCCTCGCACCCCCATCTTTGAGGGGTGCTCTCCTTCCCCCTTGCTGCCCTCTGTTGCCTCTGCTGCTGCTGCCGACCTGCTTGGTCTTGAGTCGGTCGGCGCGGCGTCTGCCCCTAGTGGGAGACGTCGCTCCAGCAAGGGCAAGGGTGGCAAGGGCGCGGGTGGAGCTGGAGGGGGCGGTGGCGGTGGCGGCGGTGGCGGCGGAGGGAGTGGGGGTGGCGGCGGGACTAGTGGCGGGGGTGGTGGTGGTGGTGGCAGCAGCGGCGGAGACGGTGGTGGTGGTGCCAGCGGTGGTGGTGGTGGCAGCGGCGGAGGTGGGGGCGGCGGAGGTGGAGGCGGTGGAGGCGGCAGCGCAGGAGGCGGTGGTGGTGGAGGAGGTGGAGCTGGTCGAGGTGGTACCCAGCAGCGTAGCGGCGGTGGTGGTGGCCAGCGCTCGCAGCGGCAGCAGCAGCAGCGCTCGCGGGACATCCCTCCGCCTCAGCAGCTTCGTGAGTGGTACGCTGGGCGTCAGAGGGGTGGGGGTACTGGTCCCTGCACCTACGTTCTTCGTTCCGGCGACCGCGCGGGTGAGCAGTGTGGGGGTGCCCACCCCACCCAGCGCTGCTTTGGCCGCCTGACGGACGCTTGGCGTCGGCAGTTCCCTGGGGCTAGTGAGATCCCTCGCTGGGATGAGCTTCTTAGGGCTGGTGTAGCGATCTTTGATCTTGATTTTGATGCTATCCTTGCTGCTATGTATGCTGTGGATTATAGTGAGGAGAATGAGGGTTACCGGTGTTTCCAGCCCGACCCGGGCATTGGTGCTGCTGCGCTAGGTGCTTGTGAGGCTGCTGCTCTAGGTGCCAGTGCGTCTGTGCTCTCAGGTACTGGTGAGACTGCGCTCTCAGGTACTGCGTCGTCCTCGTCCTCCCTCACTTTCACACTTGACTCCGGAGCTTCTCGCTCCTTCTTTCGAGACCGCACTACCCTTACGCCGCTCGGCCGGCCGGTTGCGGTCTCCCTTGCTGACCCCTCTGGGGGTCCTGTCCTGTCTCACTTCTCCACTGTCCTCCCGTGTCCGGCTGCCCCTTCGGGCACCCTGTCTGGTCTGTACCTTCCCTCGTTCTCTACGAACTTGGTGAGTGGTGCAGCCCTCCAGGATGCGGGGGTTCACCAGTTCACTCCTGCGAGTGAGCGGGAGACCCACTGCACGGACGCACGCACAGGCCGACACCTAGCCACCTTCTCGCGTCGGCCGGGGTCGAGTCTCTACACCCTGACCACTTCGTCTCCTCCTGTCCCTGCGTCCGGTCAGGTAGCTGCGTCAGGTCAGGTGCTTGCTGCTGCGTCCCGGTCAGGTCCTGAGTCTGCCCCCTGTTCTTGTCGCCTCCTGTCTCACGAGACTCTCCTGTGGCACCACCGTCTTGGCCACCCCTCCTTGCCCCGTCTTCGGAGCATGGCTTCCCGTGTCCTTGTCTCTGGTCTTCCCCAGTCTCTCCCTCCTCTCCCCTCCGGGCCAGGACCTTCTTGTGTCCCCTGTGTCGAGGGTCGCCTCCGGGCTACTCCTCACTCCTCCCAATTCCCCCCGACAGAGGCTCCCCTGCAGACGCTTCACATGGATGTGTGGGGCCCAGCCCCCGTCCGTGGGCAGGGTTACGAGCGCTACTTCCTGTTGGTGGTTGACGACTACTCGCGTTACACCACAGTCCTCCCCTTGCGCAGCAAGGGTGCGGTCACTGAGGTGCTGATCGACTGGATCCGCGAGGCTCGTCTCCAGCTCAGGAAGAGCTTCGGCTCGGACTTTCCTGTTCTGCGTCTGCACTCGGACAGAGGCGGAGAGTTCTCTTCTCGCCTTCTGCGGGACTACTGTCGTGCACGGGGGATCCGCCAGACCTTCACACTTCCGGACTCACCACAGCAAAATGGGATTGCTGAGCGCCGCATTGGCATGGTCATGGATGTCGCTCGTACGTCCATGATGCATGCGGCTGCCCCCCATTTTCTGTGGCCGTTTGCGGTGAGGTACGCGGCGCATCAGCTCAACCTTCACCCCCGGGTCTCTCGGCCTGCGATGTCCCCAGCCTTGCTGTGGACGCGGAAGGTTGGCGATGCGTCTGTGTTCCGTGTCTGGGGATCTCGGGCGTTTGTCCGCGACTTGTCTGCGGACAAGCTGTCCCCTCGTGCTGCTCCCTGTGTCTTCCTTGGCTTCCCCACTGACGCCCCAGGGTGGCAGTTTTACCACCCCTCCTCTCGTCGTGTTCTGTCCTCCCAGGACGTCACGTTCGACGAGTCAGTCCCCTTCTACCGTCTCTTCCCCTACCGCACTCCTTCCCTCCCCCCTCCCCCGGACTTCCTTGTGCCGGTTCCCCCCCCGGTAGACCCCCTCCCCCCTCAGGTTCCTGCCCCTTCAGGTGTGTCCCAGGTAGACGCCGTTGACCCGGTCGAGGTTGTTGGTGACTCTGGTGCTGCTGCGGGTGCTGAGCCTGGGGGTGCTGACTCTGGGGGTGCTGTGCGCGGGGGTGCTGAGCCTGGGGGTGCTACTGCTGGGGGTGCTGGGCCTGAGGGTGCTACTGCGGAGGGTGCGGAGCCTGGGGGTGCTGAGCCGGGGGGTGCTGTGCCTGGAGGTGCTGGGTCTAGGGGTGCTGGGTCGGGAGCTACTGAGCCTGGGGGTGCTGTGCTGGGAGCTGCTGAGCCTGGGGGTGCTGCGTCTGGAGCTGCTGAGCCTGGGGGTGCTGCGTCTGGAGCTGCTGAGCCTGGGGTTTCTCCTGCTGCTGCGTCTCGCCGGGAGCCCCTCTCTCCACAGGAGCTGCGCGAGTGGTTCGCTCGCCGCTGGAGACGTGCTGCTGAGTCTGGAGTTGCGGCTGGAGCTGGAGCTGGAGCTTCTTCGACCGTCGAGGGTGCGGGTGCTGCCGGTCCCGGAGCTGCTGGACCTGCGGGTCCTCCTGGAGCTGGAGCTGCTGACGGCGTTGGTGCTGAGCCTACTGCTGTTGGTCCTGCCGCTGGAGGTGTGGGTGGCACTGGTGCTGTCGCTGAGGGTGCTGGTGCTGTCCCTGCTGCGTCTCGAGCTGCCGCGCGGCCTCGGCCGTACTTCGTTCCGCTCCTGCAGCAGGTTCTTGGTCTTTCTCCTCCAGTAGAGGGTCCACCGCCTGTCCAGTCGCAGTCCCTGCTGGAGCCTTCCTCTCCACTGCCTGCTCCCTCTCCTTACACTGGTCCTACTGGAGGTCTTGCTGAGCGTCGTGAGCCTGCGTCTCGTCCCGCGTCGCCTGTTCGTGCTGCTCGCACTAGTGGTCGCAGTTCGCGTCAGCGTCCTCCTCCTGTCCCTGGCACGCACCAGATGTCTTTGCGTCCGTCCACTGCTCCTCTGCGTGCCCCTTTGCCTTCTCCTCCTGAGTCTTCTCTTCCTGCGCTTGCCGACCCTGAGTCGGACTCTCTTCGTGCTGCCAGTCCTACTGTCACGCGTCTGCTTGCTACTGTCGTCACCGACCCCTCTTTTGAGTCCACTGCTGCGTCTGCTCTTGTCGCTGAGCTCGTCGACTTTGCTGCTCGCTGTCGTCTAGACTACGCTGCTAGTCTTGTTGCTGAGTCTGCGTCTGTCTGTCCTCCGTCCGTCGGGGGTGAGTGTGCTCTTGGCACGGACGTCCTAGAGGACAGGCAGGAGGAGTTACAGTGTCTAGCGGCTGCTTCACCTCATCTCGCGTCTGTACTGCTTGCCCCTGAGGGAGACCCGGATGCACTAGACATCCCGACTCCGCGTTCTTACGCGGAGGCCGTAGAGGGTCCCTACTCCCCTACTCCTCTCAGTGGCAGGCAGCTATGGATGCAGAGATGGCTTCCTGGAAGTCCACAGGCACCTACGTTGACGCGGTTCCCCCTCCTGGGGCGAACATCGTCAGTGGCATGTGGATCTTCAGGGTGAAGCGGCCGCCGGGCTCTCCACCTGTCTTCAAGGCACGGTATGTTGCTCGTGGCTTCAGTCAGCGGCAGGGAGTTGACTACTTTCAGACCTTCTCTCCCACCCCGAAGATGACTACTCTTCGGGTGCTGCTGCACATAGCCGCTCAGCGCGACTACGAGCTTCACTCTCTCGACTTCAGCACTGCGTTCTTGCAGGGTAGCCTGCACGAGGAGATCTGGCTTCGCCGTCCACCTGGCTTCACTGGGACTTTCCCTCCTGGCACCCAGTGGAGCCTCCGACGGCCAGTCTACGGTCTCCGCCAGGCACCGCGTGAGTGGCACGACACACTGAGGACTACGCTTGCGGCTCTTGGGTTTGCTCCTTCTACTGCTGACCCGTCGCTGTTTCTTCGCACCGACACTTCCCTGCCGCCGTTCTACATCCTCGTGTACGTCGACGACTTGGTCTTTGCCACAGCGGACACTGCTGGACTCGCCTACGTGAAGTCCGAGCTGCTGAAGAGACACACGTGCACAGACCTGGGTGAACTGCGCAGCTACCTTGGCTTGCAGATCACTCGGGACAGAGCACGCCGCACCATTACCTTGACTCAGTCACACATGGTGCAGCAGGTCCTTCAGCGCTTCGGCTTCACGTACTCCTCGCCTCAGGCCACTCCTCTGCCTACTCGCCACTCACTCTCAGCTCTGCCTTCGGATGAGTCCGTAGAGTCGAGTGGTCCGTATGCAGAGCTTGTTGGCTGCCTCATGTACCTGATGACTTGCACACGACCTGACCTTGCATACCCTCTGAGCATTCTTGCACGCTATGTTGCTCCTGGGAGACACAGACCGGAGCACATGGCTGCAGCGAAGAGGGTATTGTGCTACCTGTGCAGTACGTCGGGCATGGGGCTAGTGCTTGGAGGGCGGAGTCCAGTGGTCCTTGCCGGCCACGCGGACGCTTCTTGGGCTGACGACCAGGCTACGCAGCGGTCGTCACAGGGTTACACCTTCAGCCTTGGTTCCGGCTCTGTCTCGTGGCGGTCTACTCGCTCGTCTTCGGTTCTCGGCTCCAGTTGTGAGGCTGAGATCTACGCCGGGGCCATGGCTGCACAGGAGCTTCGCTGGCTCACCTACTTGCTGACTGACCTTGGAGAGCCGCCTCGTTCTCCTCCAGTGCTGTACGTAGACAACAAGGCCATGCTGGCCTTGTGTCGAGAGCAGCGCTTGGAGCACAGAACGAAGCACATTGCTCTCCGCTACTTCCTTGCTCGTGAGCTGCAGCAGCGTGGTCAGTTGCGACTTGCGTACGTGGCCTCTGAGGCCAACACTGCTGATGTGTTCACCAAGGCACTTGCGCCTTGTGACCATCAGCGCTTTTGTACCCAGCTGGGTCTTGTGCCTGTCTTGCCTCACTTGCTCTCTTCTTGACTTTACTTGTACTGTGACATATATATACCTGCTCTTGCTTGTCTTGCTTTATATATATGTCTGTACTCTTGCATGTGAACTGGCCTTTGGCCTTGCTCTTGTGCTCGGACTGTGTGGTGACTTTGTGATCCACCCTGAGCTTTGTTTTGCTTTGCTTGACTGGTCTTGTGACCCCTTGTTCTCCCCCACTTTGCCTATGGGGGTGTGTCAGAACACATATACAGCTTATACTGTTGTGTAGGCTGTAGTGGGGTAACCCGTAGGGGGTACAACCAGTTAGGGTTTGATACTTGTACTGATTTCATTTCATAGTCATTCATTCCTGTTCTCTTACTTTCACACTAGCATGTGCAAAATTGCAAGAACAAGGGCCTAGCGTGTGCAAAAAAAAAAGAACAACGGCATAGCGTGTGCAAAATAAAAAGAACAAGGGCCTAGCGTGTAAAAAATAAAAAGAACAAGGGCCTAGCGTGTGCAAAATTGCAAAAACAAGGGCCTAGCGTGTGCAAAACAAAAAAGAACTAGGGCATAGCGTGTGCGAAATAGCAAGAACAAGGGCCTAGCGTGTGCAAAATAAAAAGAACAAGGGCCTAGCGTGTGCAAAATAAAAAGAACAAGGGCCTAGCGTGTGCAAAATTGCAAGAACAAGGGCCTAGCGTGTGCAAAATTGCAAGAACAAGGGCCTAGCGTGTGCAAAATTGCAAGAACAAGGGCCTAGCGTGTGCAAAAAAAAAAAGAACTAGGGCATAGCGTGTGCGAAATAGCAAGAACAAGGGCCTAGCGTGTGCAAAATAAAAAGAACAAGGGCCTAGCGTGTGCAAAATAAAAAGAACAAGGGCCTAGCGTGTGCAAAATTGCAAGAACAAGGGCCTAGCGTGTGCAAAATTGCAATAACAAGGGCCTAGCGTGTGCAAAATTGCAAGAACAAGGGCCTAGCGTGTGCCAAAAAAAAAAGAACTAGGGCATAGCGTGTGCGAAATAGCAAGAACAAGGGCCTAGCGTGTGCAAAATAAAAAGAACAAGAGCCTAGCGTGTGCAAAATAAAAAGAACAAGGGCCTAGCGTGTGCAAAATTGCAAGAACAAGGGCCTAGCGTGTGCAAAATTGCAATAACAAGGGCCTAGCGTGTGCAAAATTGCAAGAACAAGGGCCTAGCGTGTGCAAACAAAAAAAGAACTAGGGCATAGCGTGTGCGAAATAGCAAGAACAAGGGCCTAGCGTGTGCAAAATAAAAAGAACAAGGGCCTAGCGTGTGCAAAATAAAAAGAACAAGGGCCTAGCGTGTGCAAAATATAAAGAACAAGGGCCTAGCGTGTGCAAAATTGCAAGAACAAGGGCCTAGCGAGTGCAAAATAGCAAGAGCAAGGGCCTAGTGTGTGCAAAAAATCAAGAACAAGGGCCTAACGTTCGCGAAATAGGAAGAACAAGGGCTTAGCGTGTGCAAAATTGCAAGAACAAGGGTCTAGCGTGTGCAAAATTGCAAGAACAAGGGCCTAGCGTGTGCAAAATAGCAAGAGCAAGGGCCTAGCGTGTGCAAAAATTCAAGAACAAGGGCCTAGCGTTCGCGAAATAGCAAGAACAAGGGCCTAGCGTGTGCAAAATAGCAAGAGCAAGGGCCTAGCGTGTGCAAAAAATCAAGAACAAGGGCCTAGCGTTCGCGAAATAGCAAGAACAAGGGCCTAGCGTGTGCAAAATAAAAGGAACAAGGGTCTAGCATGTGCAAAATTGCAAGAACAAGGGCCTAGCGTGTGCAAAATAAAAAGAAAAAGGGCCTAGCATGTAAAAAATAAAAAGAACAAGGGCCTAGCGTGTGCAAAATTGCAAGAACAAGGGCCTAGCGTGTGCAAAATTGCAAGAACAAGGGCCTAGCGAGTGCAAAATAGCAAGAACAAGGGCCTAGCGTGTGCAAAATAAAAAGAACAAGGGCCTAGCGTGTGCTAAATTGCAAGAACAAGGGCCTAGCGTGTGCAAAATTGCAAGAACAAGGGCCTAGCGAGTGCAAAATAGCAAGAGCAAGAGCCTAGTGTGTGCAAAAAATCAAGAACAATGGCCTGGCGTTCGCGAAATAGCAAGAACAAGGGCCTAGCGTGTGCAAAATTGCAAAAACAAGGGTCTAGCGTGTGCAAAATCGCAAGAACAAGGGCCTAGCTTGTAAAAAATAAAAAGAACAAGGGCCTAGCGTGTGCAAAATTGCAAGAACAAGGGCCTAGCGTGTGCAAAATAGCAAGAGCAAGGGCCTAGTGTGTGCAAAAAATCAAGAACAAGGGCCTAGCGTTCGCGAAATAACAAAAACAAGGGCCTAGCGTGTGCAAAATTGCAAAAACAAGGGCCTAGCGTGTGCAAAATAGCAAGAGCAAGGGCCTAGTGTGTGCAAAAAAATCAAGAACAAGGGCCTAGCGTTCGCGAAATAGCAAGAACAAGGGCCTAGCGTGTGCAAAATAGCAAGAACAAGGGTCTAGCATGTGCAAATTTGCAAAAACAAGGGCCTAGCGTGTGCAAAATAAAAAGAACAAGGGCCTAGCGTGTAAAAAATAAAAAGAACAAGGGCCTAGCGTGTGCAAAATTGCAAGAACAAGGGCCTAGCGTGTGCAAAATTGCAAGAACAAGGGCCTAGCGTGTGCAAAATTGCAAGAACAAGGGCCTAGCGTGTGCAAAATTGCAAGAACAAGGGCCTAGCGTGTGCAAAAAAAAAAAAGAACTAGGGCATAGCGTGTGCGAAATAGCAAGAACAAGGGCCTAGCGTGTGCAAAATAAAAAGAACAAGGGCCTAGCGTGTGCAAAATAAAAAGAACAAGGGCCTAGCGTGTGCAAAATTGCAAGAACAAGGGCCTAGCGTGTGCAAAATTGCAATAACAAGGGCCTAGCGTGTGCAAAATTGCAAGAACAAGGGCCTAGCGTGTGCCAAAAAAAAAAGAACTAGGGCATAGCGTGTGCGAAATAGCAAGAACAAGGGCCTAGCGTGTGCAAAATAAAAAGAACAAGAGCCTAGCGTGTGCAAAATAAAAAGAACAAGGGCCTAGCGTGTGCAAAATTGCAAGAACAAGGGCCTAGCGTGTGCAAAATTGCAAGAACAAGGGCCTAGCGTGTGCAAAATTGCAAGAACAAGGGCCTAGCGTGTGCAAACAAAAAAAGAACTAGGGCATAGCGTGTGCGAAATAGCAAGAACAAGGGCCTAGCGTGTGCAAAATAAAAAGAACAAGGGCCTAGCGTGTGCAAAATAAAAAGAACAAGGGCCTAGCGTGTGCAAAATTGCAAGAACAAGGGCCTAGCGTGTGCAAAATTGCAAGAACAAGGGCCTAGCGAGTGCAAAATAGCAAGAGCAAGGGCCTAGTGTGTGCAAAAAAATCAAGAACAAGGGCCTAGCGTTCGCGAAATAGGAAGAACAAGGGCTTAGCGTGTGCAAAATTGCAAAAACAAGGGTCTAGCGTGTGCAAAATTGCAAGAACAAGGGCCTAGCGTGTGCAAAATAGCAAGAGCAAGGGCCTAGCGTGTGCAAAAATTCAAGAACAAGGGCCTAGCGTTCGCGAAATAGCAAGAACAAGGGCCTAGCGTGTGCAAAATAGCAAGAGCAAGGGCCTAGCGTGTGCAAAAAAATCAAGAACAAGGGCCTAGCGTTCGCGAAATAGCAAGAACAAGGGCCTAGCGTGTGCAAAATAAAAGGAACAAGGGTCTAGCATGTGCAAAATTGCAAGAACAAGGGCCTAGCGTGTGCAAAATAAAAAGAAAAAGGGCCTAGCATGTAAAAAATAAAAAGAACAAGGGCCTAGCGTGTGCAAAATTGCAAGAACAAGGGCCTAGCGTGTGCAAAATTGCAAGAACAAGGGCCTAGCGAGTGCAAAATAGCAAGAACAAGGGCCTAGCGTGTGCAAAATAAAAAGAACAAGGGCCTAGCGTGTGCTAAATTGCAAGAACAAGGGCCTAGCGTGTGCAAAATTGCAAGAACAAGGGCCTAGCGAGTGCAAAATAGCAAGAGCAAGAGCCTAGTGTGTGCAAAAAATCAAGAACAATGGCCTGGCGTTCGCGAAATAGCAAGAACAAGGGCCTAGCGTGTGCAAAATTGCAAAAACAAGGGTCTAGCGTGTGCAAAATCGCAAGAACAAGGGCCTAGCTTGTAAAAAATAAAAAGAACAAGGGCCTAGCGTGTGCAAAATTGCAAGAACAAGGGCCTAGCGTGTGCAAAATAGCAAGAGCAAGGGCCTAGTGTGTGCAAAAAATCAAGAACAAGGGCCTAGCGTTCGCGAAATAACAAAAACAAGGGCCTAGCGTGTGCAAAATTGCAAAAACAAGGGCCTAGCGTGTGCAAAATAGCAAGAGCAAGGGCCTAGTGTGTGCAAAAAATCAAGAACAAGGGCCTAGCGTTCGCGAAATAGCAAGAACAAGGGCCTAGCGTGTGCAAAATAGCAAGAACAAGGGTCTAGCATGTGCAAATTTGCAAGAACAAGGGCCTAGCGTGTGCAAAATAAAAAGAACAAGGGCCTAGCGTGTAAAAAATAAAAAGAACAAGGGCCTAGCGTGTGCAAAATTGCAAGAACAAGGGCCTAGCGTGTGCAAAATTGCAAGAACAAGGGCCTAGCGAGTGCAAAATAGCAAGAACAAGGGCCTAGCGTGTGCAAAAAATCAAGAACAAGGGCCTAGCGTTCGCGAAATAGCAAGAGCAAGGGCCTAGCGTGTGCAAAATAAAAAGAACAAGGGTCTAGCATGTGCAAAATTGCAAAAACAAGGGCCCAGCGTGTGCAAAATAAAAAGAACAAGGGCATAGAGTGTGCAAAATAGCAAGAAGAAGGGCCTAGCGTATGCAATATAAAAAGAACAAGGGCCTAGCGTGTGCAAAATAAAAAGAACAAGGGCCCAGCTTGTGCAAAATTGCAAGAACAAGGGCCTAGCGTATGCAAAATTGCAAGAACAAGGGCCTAGCGAGTGTAAAATTGCAAGAGCAAGGGCCTAGCATGTGTAAAATTGCAAGAACAAGGGCCTAGCGAGTGCAAAATAGCAAGAGCAAGG